CTGCCTCTGTTAGGGTTCTCGTCCCGACGATGGCACTATTTTCGATATCGACTGTCCTAGCAAGAGTAATTCAGCCGCTGTCTGGAGGATAATTCCAGTGGCTAGATGCACTAATCGGTAGTTTTCCGTGGGTTTCCTGCATAAAGCCAGGCGAATGCCAGTGCTGTACCCTACCAAACGGCTCAGGGACCTCACACGATCTTTCCTTCCTCTTCCCTACGTCAGCACACGCGCGTCCCTACCACACATGTCGGGAGCCTGGGGCTTGAGCAGGAGAGCAGGAACGGTGCTCCGCAGGGGAGGTACCTGGAGGGGGAAATCCTCCAAGCAAACAGACGCGTAAGATCTCACCATCCACCAGGGAAGGAGCACCGCCACCTCTCGGGATGAAACAACCACTACACTAGTTGGGCTAAAGACCACAGCGGTTTACGTGGAGCAGAAGGATACGGCTATTATTTGTTTACCGAAGGATCTTCTGCCATTAGAAAGAGGGGAAAGTGTATTAGTGTTGTCGTCATTGCGACTTATAATTCTGTCCACGTCTGAATTCATAACAGGCATGATACCATTATGATATGATATACCTAAATGCTGCTTGTACTTCGAAATGTGACTCCATGAATATTATTGTTGATCCGAGTCACTATATAGGTCACAGAGTTTTACAGTTTAATTTGTGTTGGAAGTATTTCCTTTTTAAAATATCGTCTTCGTACAAATATTTCTCTAGTATTTCAGATAAAAAAAATTTAAATGATAAAAAAACAGATTAGTAACTTTTATGCCTTTACAATTCGTTTCCTTCTATTTAACTTATAGATTTATATTTTAAATTTAACGTCAAAACTAATAGTACTACAACAGCGCATAATTTCTTGCATTACATTAAAATATGCATTTTTCGAAAATTCAGAGACCTTAAAGAAAGACCTTAAGGGGTCTATGTGAATAAGCAATTTTAAAGTATTTCAAAATCGAAGAGTTTCGAACTGCGTCAGATCGACCGCAAAATATCCATTCGGGAAAAAGACTAGGAATAGTGACGGACAGACTGACGAACGGACGTGTCGCAGTCAACCAATTGTTCGGTATCAAGGACCCGCAAATCGTGAAATCAGACCGCAACGTGTTAGAGGAAGTAATTTACTACAAATTGCAGCAAGATGTATCCACTTATTCTGTATCAAGGCCCAACAATACGCGCTTTTGTCGAAAAATAGCAATTTTTTTAGCCGCAGCATTACTTTCTCTATTTTCAGTATAATGTTACCCCGTAAGAACGTCAAAATTGGTCACTTGTATTAGTTGTTGAAATATTAGAGGTACAGAGTTTACAATACTTTCATTATTAACAATTATTAACATACTTAACATTATCAGCTACGGCTTGTGCTTGCACCGCCTCGCACCTCTGTGCGCAGGCGCGGCGGCGGGAGCCATACGTTCCCTCCCGCGCAAAGGAGCGAAAAGTCAAGTATTACGCTGTGGGCAGAGTATTTGGGGATCTTCAGACGTCTGGCGTCAACAGTGAACGAGGGGAGCGCATGTGCATTCAACTCGCGTAGTCTAACTCAACTGTTGGGGCAGCGAATAGTATCCGCGCTCGTTTTCATGAGCCCACATTTCGCTATATGCGAGAGGAGTGGGGGATTTTATTATTTTCTTGACAGGACTATAGAATCAAATTTGTAGCTCGCTTTTCGATGAAAATAGTTTCTATTACACAGGAGGGAATATTTATGTTATCAGATTTTGCCAACAACGCTCCTTGCTATCATTTATTCTCCATTCAACTAACGTTAGTAAAGGAGTGGGGGTAGATATTCCGAGGTTCCAGACAGAATACGTGTGCGTATAATACGCGAAAGCTGTCAGGCGCTTAGGGGCCATCCAAAAATTCCTTCACGCGAATTTTGAGAATTTTGGAGAAAACGCAAACAAAAACTTCTCCCTGTGAAGCGCGCTTCAATCGTCTAATAATTACGTAACTCTTGCGACAATCCCCCCCCCACCTTTTAGAAGTAAAAATAAATTATATCTCAGTTACACACTTTGTATTTATTTTATTTGTTTTATATATAAATATTTCTGTTAATTAAACACAGAATTAGTTGCCGACTGCAACAATAACTTTGGGGACAAGCATGGGCGTACAGACGAGAAAATTTCTGACAAGCCACGCGTCCACTGTTATGACTGACGCATGGGCAAGAGTCTATTGAGCTGATTAAAGCTTCGTAATCTAACAGATTCACTCAATATACAACTTATGAAAAAAAATATTTATTGCAACAATTTATACACAATAACTTTTTAATTTATTTGTATTTCTTACATATTTAATTAATGGTAGTTAGTATTTTTAGTACAAGTTAAAAAAAAAAAAATTCAGCAAATGTTGAAATTTTAAAAAAATACGTAAACATCGGCGTTACGAAACTGTCAACTAACACCCTCTACCCCTATGGAATTCTGCGTAGTGTTCTCTCAAACCTCCTGCCTCTTCTTTGGCGTTACCGACGACCCCTTACAAAATCGTTAAAGTGAGAAAAATATTGTTCAAGGAAGTAGATGAAAAGGAGGAGATGGTAAAACTTGACGTGGCCACTCTCACCGAAGATGCCGATCCCAACAATTGTTGTTGTTATTATTATTATTATTATTATTATTATTATTATTATTATTGTTATTAGCCCACTAAGATCCCGTTAAGGGTAAGGGCCTGCTACCTTATGAAGGGAATGCTGAGTGAAGTGATAGGATGATGACGATGACGATGATGATGATGGGTGGAAAGGATTAGGGTGATAGTGGGAGGTGTTCATGGCATTTTTTAACCATTCTAGCACTCTCCTTACGTCCGAGGGAAACGTGAAAAACCCGATCAGAATGGCCTGCCCGTGGACGAACCCGGGCCTCCCGGTTGCGAAAAAATCTCTGTGTTCTACCTGGCCCTTTAGAAGCTTTTGGTAATAATATAGTTTATTTGTCCGTATAATGTAAATTTCTCCAAAAAACTTATTTTTAATGTCACTATAAACATCCTTATCTTCATCTTGTTTCCATTCTCATTATCTTATCCTGATTCAAAAGCAGGCAAATGTAAAGTCGTAAATTAAAAGGAGCATATCAGCGTTAACAAATAAGAAAGCACATGTGAGGCAAATACCCTTCAAGATTGTGCCAGCAGAAAAGATGAATGTTCAGCACTTTCATTCTCAGATTTCAATCCAAATTTCCACTTGTGGTTGGAAACAAAATTAGAATACAAAAGCAAACTTCCAAACAAAATTCAAATAAAATTCCAATAAAAAAGATAACGGAAGGAAAGTTTCCTTCAGAAACTTTAGTTCTCTTCTAATCACATGATGATGATGATGATGATAACAATGATAATAATAACAACATCAACAACAAATTCAACGTTAAATTTTTCATGTTCTTTGATGGTATTCATTTATTTATTTGGTCCTCCGCTTTACTAGAATGCTTCCTAAAACATTCACAAGTTTGCCTATTCTGGTAACATTTTCAGACTGAACAATTAAATTTTTTACAGAGATTTCAAATCAATAAAACATTTAGTGGAGAAGATGATTAAAAAAATTGGAAGTAGATAATGGTCTACTCCACTTCATAATATACTTAATACTATACTTCTAATTATACTAATAATATACTTCTTAATATAATATTGACAGTTGTTTACAAGTGTAATTAATATCCAAGAACCTCTTGAACTCAAAGGGAACCCTAATTTTGGGAGTACCTTAAATAACACATCCCATTTTCTAGGGAACACTTTATTTATTGAAGATTTGGAATATTAGTGAAATGAGATGAAATCTCGAAGGCACTGTGTCTTTTTAGAGGTTAACTGAAAAAATAAAATGTAGGATCTCTAATTTTAAACTTTTAAAATTCTGCAAAATAGATATGTTTCAATTTCAAAGAAGAATGTTAACCCAGGCTAGGGCTTGTCATTGTCTGCCTCCAAAATGAGTATGGTATTCATTAAAATAAACAAACAGAAAGAAACACAAACACATTACTTCCTCACATCAAACTAAGGATACAATGTTGTGTAAATATCAATAGCGCAAGCAGAATGTGTTGGAAAGGGAAGATGCGGTTGGTGGGGTGGTGGGTGGGTGGTGGTGGTCGTGGGGGGGAGATAGGTGTGCTTACAAGTGTCGACCAATCTAGTTGATGTTTTCTAATAAACTATTTTTTTTATTTCTTTTAGATTTAAAATGTATTTTTTAAGTTAATTTTGTAGTTATTTATAATGAACTGAATGGAGATATTGAATGACTATTATTACAATCGTGAATTAGTAAAAAACTTATTTGTGAGCATGTTTTATTATTTTCTGGTGTAAAAGTTTGGTCTTCAATCCACCCTATGGTTGCCAGATGTTCACAATTTGCATGAGCTGTTCATCACTTAAGTAACAAATGCTTTAAAAATACTTTAAAATCAATGTTTTAAAAAAATGTTCTTATAACACAAATGACTTATATTAACATTATTAATTATTGAAGTATTTTATTCACAGTATCTTACCACCCACTCCCTTTTCTGCATCATCACTATTTTGTAAAAATGCATCTGGGAACCACATTACCCCTCCCCCCAAGTGCACCACAAATAATTAGAAAACACATTACAAGTTTCCAATGTTAGAAAAATTATTTTATATGCTGTTTATAAGCTCAAGAAAATAAATTTATCAAGCATTAGGTACCTACAATACCTATAACTAGTAACCCAAAATTATTGTACAGAATAATTTCAATATTAACCTATTTGCAAAAACAAAAAAATGTTAAAAGAAGTGCCTTAAAAACAGTTAATAAGAGTATTTCAGGCTCAAACATTAAAACATTTATTTCTAATTTTGGCATTTACTTTTTATGAGAATCAGATCAAACAATGAAAACTATCATACAAAAAGGCAATTTGGTAACAATACAAATTGAGAATCTGGTACATACACATTTGAAGAATCAGTAGGTAAAGCACTGGAAGACCTTTTAGTGCATACATCCACATGATGAAACACTTGAAATTTTGTCATTTTTCCATATTCTAGATTTCTTTGAGTCCATGATGACACAACAGAAAATTGAGACTGATTATTTTTGTTCAGAATTCTCGCGGATGTTGGGCTGGGAAATTTCGCTAGCGCTCTATATATCTCCACAATTTTTTCAATCTGAGAAAAAGAATGCAAGAAAATATAAAAAAAAAAAAAAACACTAAATGCCACTTTATCAACACTTCGTATTTTTTTTATTAAGAAATAATGAAAGTACCTGCGGCGCCGGCATTATTTAGAGCAAACGTCAGAAGTAAGCAGTTTCAAGTCAATATTGTCTGCGCCAGTATTTTCAATTTTCCTTAAACTCAACACATTACCCTTTTCTCAAGTTTATTTGTTGATATTTTTAATTTTAACTGGCTACTTCACTGTCTTCACAAACTTTTACCAATGCTGACATCAGCTGAAACTCCTACACTTTGTGTAGCACACACAGTACCGTAAACGCTATTAAAAGCAACGCACCGTCTGCGCAGTGCGCGCAGCTCACTCGCATCGCTTCCTCGTGAACATACACGCACACACGCGCACACGTCGAATAAGCCGATGGTATTATACAGCACGTCAGCAATAAAAGAAGTTCAAACCAATCGGAACGCAAACACAGGCCAATACTGGGGGATCACTGAACGCTTCGCCCACTCAGTACCGCCAATCACAAGAATCAAGCGGCACAGGCTCCGCGCCATTCGAATCTTAATTTGTATAGGTAACAAATTATACTTTACCATTTACAGATATATTTACAAATTTATGTAATAGAAAATAAGATGCATTGTTCAAATGTATTGTTTATCCTTTATTTACAAGATAATCCATGTGTATATGAAATATGCTATAATTCTTCCATCTTTATTAAGGTCTGCGTTAAGAGTTTTTGATTTCTCATCAGTTCAACTGCCATGCAATAGCATCATGCTTATTGATACAAATATATTCACAAATACATAGCAATATCATGTAACTTTATTAAAAGAAACAATTCGCGTAATTATCTTCTGTTAATCCCCTTTGTAATTATTAATAATACTAATTAATTATTGATGTTAACTATTTATTAGAAAGCCATCTCTAATTAATGGAATAATATTAATAAAATGCGGATATGACAGAGGGTGAATTTATTCCAAGTTTTTACATTTTTCATTCAACCTAATTTCCTATTTATTGAATAACAACCTATTAAAATATTTAATGAATCATTTACTATTCCAATAATTGCGTATCTCGCGTCAGGTTGTATTGTTTCATTATTTTACGTACGGTCCAAAGCAGATCAGTCAGAATAATAAGACGTAAATTATTACAATACGACATTATAACCACCAAATGTTATATTTACTTCACATCAGATAAGAGTTCTACAGGTTTTGTTATCTTATCTCATGCGTATTTTACTTCACTTACGCCTATTCTTCTTTCCCGCACAAGAAAAATAAAATGGGTACCTATTCCTCTGAGGAGAAAGTTTATATTTCACCAAGAAATTCGAAATTGTAATGATTGTTTATCCTTCTTGACATCGCTATTTCTAATTTATTTTTCATATTAATTTTTTGAACGAAGCAGATCGAATCTTAATTTTAAGCTTCAATTTTTAATCTTGATCTGTCTCTCAGTACCTAACATGTCACATGGAGCATGCTACCTGCAGTGTTGGTGTTGTTGCGGTGCAATAGATGGAACGCAGATTTCTTGTTTTCGTCTAATAGTTTTCGCGTGGAATATGTTACTGTATTTTTACAAATATATAATTACTTTTATAGATTTCAAACCATTATTATTGATAGAAATAGAATACATCTTACGAACAAAAAAGTTAATTAACTGTAACTAATTTCAATTGCTAGTCTTATTTTCGCAGATATCAAGTTTCACTTTTGATCTCAGGCAGAACAAAACAGGAATCCATGAAACTTAAGGTAAATTGTTAAATTTCACTATAAGGTGTGAAAAACATTCCATTAAAGGCACTATATTTGTACATTCATGCACTTTTGTTACATTGATTTCATTTTCATTATGGTTGGAATAAAACAAAAATACATTACAAATAATTTCAAGGCAGGTTAGGTTGGATGTCAACAGTAAGAGCAACTGCAGTATTCAACGCACTTTTTTCATTTCTTGAAGGAACCAGGACACCTTCATATCAACCAATACACAACAATGTATTCAAATGAAATTGTTTGATTTCTCAATCGTACATTCATCACAATTTATTTTGAACGTCTTTTTCTGATAGCGCGCACACATGCGTCATTTGTTCATTTCTGTTTTTACAGTGCGGTCGTTAGAGGCCATCAGGAAAAAGATCGTTAATAATCAAGAAAACGATTTGTGCACTCACCGTATTTATGAAACCGGTGACGGGTGACAAAGGGAAAGAATGGGGTCTGCGGTGAATTTTGACAAGCTGTGCCGAATTTGCACTGCCGAATTGCCGGAAGGCGTGCTAATTTTTAGCGAAGTGGGAAAGAAATTGTGTTTAGAGGCGAAACTAAAAAAATACTTACATATTTCGGTGAATATTCTCTTAACGTTTTCATTCCGTCTGTCATTCGCCATTAAGTACTTGATCACTGTCTTGAACGAATTGCATGACTACTGTCAGTGTGAATGTTATTAAAATTTCACTTAACTTAATTAAATGTGCACAATTCATTTATTTTTAATGCAGGTTTCTTCAGAAGATAATTTGCCAAAAATATTATGTATGAATTGCTGCAAAAAGTTGGATAGTATTCATAAATTTGCATCTATGGCTGTAAAAATGCAGGATAAATTAAAAATGTTGGTTGAAACTGGATCAGTAGAAGATATGAAAGAACACAGTATATTACATTCTATTCTGAGTAAGGTAATGTTGAGTTTTGCTTCAAAAATTTCTGGAGATCTTAAACTGTCATGATATAATTATTTTTTTCCACACATTTTCCTCAATTTTTCTTTCATTTTTTTAATATACAGGGTCCCGAGTCGGAATGTGAAGTCACAGAAGTAGAAGTGCGAGTAGATCCCATGCTTTTCCTTTGTGCGTTGGAGGATGGAAGCAGTGATGGTGAAGACAATTCAAACAGCAATGAAACGGCAACCCAACCTTCTGCAGAACCTCCTGTCAAAATGTGAGTCTAGTACATAATTAATGTCTCTCTTACAAGTTTTTGTCAATTTTAGATTTTATGGTTTGAAGTAAATTACTCTTTGCCTAATTGGACACAGCTTCTTCAGGTCTTCTTTTTTTCTGTTCTTTTTCTCTTTTTTCCTTTGTAGAAATATTCTACACCTATAAAACTTAGGTTTTAAGAAATACAAACATTTTATTGCAGATTTAAAGTCTGTCACTAATGTTTGATACACACATTCAGTTGCACGTATCGAATTTGAAATTTGTAATTCAGGGTGCTTGGAAATTATAACTAAACCAATTGTACCGAACCATTATAATCATGAAATAAAGAAGAATAACAGTTCCCAAGGAATCATATTTAAATAAGACTGAAATGATCCAAACAAGCAATGGTCATGCCCTTCTGAATGTTGCTGTAATTAAGTGTAATATCTGTCTTCATATTGTTTTTATTGTTACTGCAGAATAATTGTTATAAGAATGTTAATTCTACTATGAACTTTCATAATTTATTTCAGTGTAAAAATATTGATTAATAATATATCAAGTGAAAGGATATGACAGTGTAAATAATTGTGCATCATAAATCTTTGTATTAAAATGAAGCTCGATAAAAGAAAAATGTCAAAAATTAAAAGGAAAAATTGCAAGGAAATACAAATGAAATTCAAAACAGCATTGAAATGTGCAAAGGTGCCAAGATGTAAAAGACGATGACGAAACAGATGGGGAGTTGTAGAAAATACTAATAACAATGAATTGAAGACGAGTAGTGATGTATTTTGTTTTGTTATGAAAATATAAAAGAATTGATGGTTTCTTGTACAAGGTAATTTACAGTTTTTGTTTTGCAAGATGCTCCTGCAAGTTATTTCCTTCATTTAATTAAAAAAATTCTTTTCTTGATAATTTTTCTGAGAATTTAAACATTCCGAAAGTTCTTGTAACTCCCAAAATATATTCTCCAATTTGTTTCCAAGTTGTGGATAATAAAATTTACTTCTTTGAATTAAATTAAGTAAATAAGATAACAATTTAACAATGTTAAGGTATATTAGGACATACTTTTGTACATAAATTTGTATTGTCTATTTGTTCAGATGTATGTACTAGTTAATAAATTATTGCAGTTAGCTCTTGGCTTCTCAAAGCAAAGATTATGTATTAAAAAAAAGATTAATGAAAAAAAGCTGTTTCAGAGCTGTTAATAACTGGGAGAGCAATTTTGACCATATGGAAGATAATAGTATAAGTTCAAAACCTTGAAATCTTATTTGTTACTATATTATAGTGTCCTAAACATCATCTGATCAAAATGAGGCAGAATATTACTCTACTGAGTTGTTGCAGTAGTAGCTTCAAATGACATTAAAAGTGGACAGTCTCAAGTGAAATATTCAGAATATTGCCACTCTTACCTTAGTAGTAAAAAAATGGAAAATGTTTTCTCACTAAGTTTTGTATTCTTTTGAGAAAAAATGGAAATATATAGTTCTGTTAATGAGAAATGTATTGAAGTGAAGAGAAATGAGACTTTGAGCTTAATTTATTGCTACATAGAAAGCTGGTGTGCTTTATTTTCAGAATGAGTGGTAATTTCTTTTCATTTACATTCGTATATATTATTACCAGATATTCAGGAGGAACCTGAACACTACTAATAAAGTTGAGTTAGTGGATAAAAAATTCCTATGAGCATATTCCTGAAAATATATTGTTTTTCAAAAAGATTTAAAATGAGCCTTCAAGTTCTATGCAGTAACACTGATATCAGGGTAGATGATTGTTAATGACATGACTCCCTAACAGTGCCCACTGCCCCATTTAAAGGACAGTGGTCCATTGTGTGGGAATGATGGGTCCTACTCTGTGAATAATCTTGAGCATGAAGTGCACTTGTGGACATACTAGGACCACTCGTGGTCCACTTCCACTCAGGAGCCAGCTCTTGAAAATTTCTGGTAGAATTGAGGTTTCTCCTACGTATGGCAAATGACCAGATTTTAAACAGAAATATTTGTTTGAATAAAATTTCATGAATGTGCCATTAAATTATTAATATTCAGAAATATTAGAAAATAATAATGATAAGTAATATGATTACTTTTTGTTGTAACATTACTATATTATTTTGGCATCTTATAAGAGAAAAATTTTGCTTTTTTAAATACATCTGTGATGATGGAACTAACTACTGTAGTAACTGAAGAAATGGAAAACTTGCCTTATTTCACTTTATTTGTAAGTTTTGAAAAAACTAAAATTTTCCTTTTTACTTGATTTCAGGGAGCCTGCAGAAAGTGGTTCTAGTTCATCTCTTCCAGCATCAGAGGAATCAATCACTGCTTCCACTTCATCTGCTTCTACTTCCTCTGTTCCAACCAGAACCGTGTCTGCTGTTGTATCCACTGCCACTACAGCTCCTGTCAACACTGCTGCTTCCACAGTATCAGCAGTTCCATCACCGGTTATATTGCGTCAAACCTCACCTCAGCCACCAATGCCTGAAAAAGAAACCAAACCTTATATTTGTTCTGTTTGTTCACGAGGCTTCTATAATGAAATCGGACTACAAAACCATTTGTGGAGTCATTTGCCCCAAGACCGCAGAGTTCTTAGCAATACTGTCGGTAACAACTTAGAAAGGTCAGTGGAAGCTGGAGAAATTGTAGGAGTGCATGACTTAGTTTTGAAATGTCTAGCTTCATGGAAAGTGAATGTTCAATGTGCATGAAATAGAATCCCTTAGTGATGTTTTTAGCAGAACTCATTTGTGACTGCAAGAAGGAACAGTGTTTCTTCATCTTTCAACAAGAACCTACTTTTTACATTTATACTTCATAATTTTAAATGAACTAACAGCTTTTCAATTGAATGTTTTCTGAACACTCTATAGAGAGAAAAGTTTGGTTCTTAGTACCGACTGAAGTTTTACAAGAGATACCTCCCAGCTTGTGACAGAACTGAAACACATTAAAGCTTATGTCCAACACAGAATATGAGGGGGGAACAGGAAGTTGAATGTTAACTATCACTCACATGAATTGCCTATTTTTTCACAAATACGCTTACAGTAATAATACAGGATATTGATTTCAATAGAATTAATAAAAGCAAAAATGGAACTAATTACCATTACTTCCATCTTTTACATATTATATACACTGTTTTTGCAATAAATAACATCAATGTAAACAGTTTATGGTACAAAAGAAGGTATCGTATGTTAAAATGGTGAATCAACATTGTTCCTATGTATGATGTGGAGAAGTTGTACTTAATTTAGTGCAAGAAAAATCAGCTTTGGAATATGGCAATATTTTTTGTTCTGTTTTGTGTTTATTACAGTATATTATAGATACGCCAAATAAAATGTTTTTTTAAAGTTCTGTAAGAAACACTTAACAATTCATTGCTTCTTTGTTATTTTTTGTTAAAATAATTTCATTGTTTGAATTGCATTGTGATACTATGATGTAAGGATGTTAAATTGTTTTGTTCTTTATTTTTACATTGTTTCTAGACCATATTTTATTACTTAAGCAAAACTGTATCAGTATTAAATTCTTTTCAAATAATATAATACTTCATTTGTTTTTGTTGGAATTTGTTGAACTGGATATAGATATTTTTAAATGTTTTATGCATGCTGTAAGTTCACATTATAAATATTTGTTAATGTTTGATGTCAGTATTTAAATAGCTCTTGTTAAAGTTTGTTTTATTTATTGATGTTTGTATAATAATTTTATTTTTATATTTTGTACAATTTTTATATTAATGAAGTTTGTTTTTTTATTTTGTAGTTTTCTTTTATTACTCGCAAAAAAAGTGGTATTTTATTTATTTAATGACAAAAACAGTTAAAAACTGTATGTGACATAGGAGAAAGGTATTCAGTACATTTTTTAAAAACATTCTGGTACTTTTAATTCTTCAGGCTTCTGTGAAGTTTCTGTGACCATCAAAATTCAGACTTATGCTCTTACCTAATAATTTATATAAGAAATCTGTTGCTGAATTATTTTTTTATACTTTTGACGCTTTATCTAATAATTTATCTGAATATAAGACTATGCTTTTGCTAAATATCTCATTTTAAAAGTACTGAGTCGGGCTTATATTTGCAGATTAGTCTGTTAGGATTTATGCTTATACTCTGCCTTTTCGCAACAAGAAACTGAAGGTGGCTTATCAATAAGATGTAAAGGTGATAAATGTCAAACGAATCTCTAGTACTATAAACACAGGTTACATGATTGCAATCGCTAGATTTTCTGATACAAACATGAGTAAATATACTACAAATACAGTGCTGTAGTATAGTAGCTGAAATAGTATTTTATTATCCATTTTTTATCATTTACTGTGGGCACCTAATTAAAGATAATTTCACTGTATCTCACCTTGGGAGATTGCCTTTGAAAGTAGTGACAGTTCTGCCACCCATAGATAAGTAAGACTAGAATAAATCTGAAATAGATTTCAATCTGAAATCTGAGATTACAGATTTTGTCAAGGAGACTTGCAAAGGCTAATTCTTTATCTTAAGTAAACACTTTTGGATGGCCCTGTTCTGACCGGATTTGTACTTCAATCTCTGTCTTATTGTCGATTGACGTATTTTAAAGTAAGCTTCATCGTGTTTTTGTGAGTTTATTCCCCACTGAATCACTGCCAAACATTCCTCTGGAGGAATTAATCCATGAATTTATGACTTCAGGCTAGTATTTTTTTTGTTTTTATTCCAAAACGGTCAATTACTGAAGGAGCAAGAGTAAGCATTGTTGAAGTTTTAAATATTGAAATAATACTATTAACAAATCAAATAAAAAGTTGTGGGCTACTTGACTTCCAATGCAAACATGGGTCCAATTAGCCCGGTTTTTGAGATTGTGTGCTAATAATTGGGAAAGGTGTTCTAATAACTAAGTTACCATTGCAGTTCTATTAATAAATATATAATTATTAAAATGTAAACTTATTGCTTGTACAACTATCCTGAAAATTCATTGTGGAGATAAACGTTTGCAAGGCTCAAATACCGCTAATTTTGACACTTAAGACGCTTAGAACAATGCTGTACCGTTCATGTGTACCATCGAACTTTGCCAAATGCATTTAAAGTTGAACTATGTTGTTATCTAACAGAAGCAAACTAACTCACAAACCGGAGATGTACGAGTTTGCAGTTCACAACTCGATCGCACGAACATTAAACAATGGAAATATCACGTGAAGAATGAGATGACACTAACTAGAGTATGATAGAAAAACATCTGGTGATTCAGAAGAGAGTTTTAAGTGGTGACAGCTGAACGAATTCAAAGTGTAGAACTTTCAAAGGAGTCTAAAAATAAGGAAGATGCAGAATGGGAGGAGGAACAAAAAACAAAAAAATTATTGTAAATGTGAAGAGGAAATCTAGTGACAAAAACATGATTAAGATGGTTTTAAGGAACAAAAAAATAATGATAGCTCAGGCAAGAAGTTTTAACATTCTCGTCAGCTTGACAATTAGCAATTTCATTTAGCAAACATTTTAAAAATTCTTGCGAGGCTTCTTCAAAATTAGGACATTATTTTAAATTCAGGTGAATACAGTAAATCATTTTTACAAGCTTCCAAACTGAGGAAGTGATGGAAGAGAATAGGTGCAAATGAAGTTGTTTCACATACTCCTTTAATACCTATACATAGGCATAAGGAGCATTAGTTAAAGATTGGTGCGTCTGAGACAGGTTTAATTCCTGATTGGGGGTGACTGTTTTGAATTATTTGTCTTGTATTGCATAGGGTTCTCTTTACACCAAATGCAGGGGTTTTCTGCACAGCCTTTACGTTCTTAGGGTGGCACATAGAGATTAGGCACCTACTGCCAGAAAGTGCCAGCAAAAATCTTCATGCCAAAAAGGTATACAGTAATAAAACAGAAAAATAGATAAATAATGTAATGAACATACATAAATATGATATTAAATTTTAAATATATTGTTTTAATATGAAGAACAAGGGATGCTCAACCTTACATGCCTGAATGTTATGAGTCGAAAATTTATATGGAAATGATATCTTACATACCCAGAAGCAAGACAGAATTCTGTAACAAATGGTACAAGTATATGTATATTGAGTTTTCCTTTTTAAACTTTGCGATTACAATTAGGGAATAACAGTAAACCCAGACGTTAGCCGAGGTTTATAACGAACCAAGTCCGTTATTTGAAATATCGTCCGTGTGTTGTTCAATACTTTTCTTTATACCACTTTCTTTAAAAATAATTCAAAATAAGAAATACCTACTCTTAGAATTGAACTCAGCGGCCATCTTTAGCTTCAACTAATTTGTTTCGATTGTTCTTACCTGACGGCGAACTGTAAAGGCCTTAACGGCAGACGGCCGCTGAGCGCTTTTCTTTTCATTCCTCTTATCACTCACGAACACATTTTTTCTGACATGGGACCGCCGACGCACACAGCGGTAACCCATGAATCCGACCCCCACTCACAGTAGCGGAAGCAGATGTGGATGTGTTTTCTTTGCAGAACATTGGTTATTTCATAATGAACTAAACACTCTGCAAATGCCTAGTTTCTATCTTGCAGAATTCTTTTGTACAACGAGGGAATAAAATAAGTAAATGATTCTGATTCTACCTTCTTGTTAGAATTCAATCCATATTAAGTTGAAAATATTTTTTTAAATAAGTCGCACAACTTACTACGCTCAAAATTATCTTACTTTACATCTATAGGCTTCCAATAAAGCGAGCTAGACTTTACAGCCCTTATAAAATCGAGACAACTCTGAACAAATTTGATAATCACTCTTCGGAATGCGTTGTACGTGGAGATTTCAACATTGCTCTATTTGGAGAGATTAGCCGAGAAAATCAGTTTCTCAATTTAATTAATTTTTAAATAAGATATTACAGTAAATTTAACTTCACGGAATACAGTTTAATCAAAAAACTGCAAATACTGCAATGGATCAAATAATTACTAAAACACAACTAGATACGGAATAATGACGAAGTCTAAGTTATAGTGACCACGTTGCAATTTTTTACAATTACTAGTAATTTGAACATTGTCACATCAAATATTACACGCATAGGTAGACAATTTACTGAAGATAAAATAGAATTATTTGTGGACTACTTGCTGTAGGAATCTAGAGACACAGTTTATAAAGCTGTGAACACAAAGAACGATATACTATATTTTTTTCAAAGCTTTCATTTCACTTCAAAGTGTGCTTTTCTCTTGAAAAGAAAATTAAACATTTCCCACCAAAGTATTACTTGGATATCGCAAGGAATTAGAACATCGCGTGAAAACAAACGTACTCTGTACTTTATTTCAAAACACAACGTATCACCCAGTTTTCGTATCCACTTCTGAAAATACTAAAGCATTTTAGGAAAGTATAGCATAAATATTGAAATTTTCTACTCGCAAATTCAAAATAAGAAGGAATTCTAAACATAGTTGTCTGGCTCGTTCGTTCTCGAACATAGTTCGTAAAAAATAATTATTAAAAATAATTGTTAAATAATAAAAAATACAAAAAATGGATGTTCGGTCTGGCCGGATGTTGTATACGGTCACTAGCCACCCCATAATGTGGTGTTGGAGATCCTAATCCGCACGCGCCCAAAAGAGTTGTTCTGAAAAGTACATCATTTCACTGAATTATCAGACGTCTTGAAGATTTGTACATTTGCATGCTATTGTAGAATATACCGTTCCATTGTTTTAGACTTATAACGTATTTTTGTAGTTGAAATGATCGTTTCGCAGTTTTGCGGTATAACTTCGTGCGTGGTTTAAATGTAGACCAGTGCTTTGAAGAAATGACTTTTGCACTCGGAATTGTTTGTCCACATCGTACTACAATATTCAGGTGGTACAGAGAATTCCAAAGGGGAAATTTCAGTTTGGAGGATGCTGAGAGAGCGGGCAGGCCACGAACATCAGTAACGTAGGAAAACATTGCTGATATGATGAAAATGCTTGACGAAGACACGAATGACCTACAAGCAGATGGCACCTTAGACCTTAATGCACCAGAAATTCGTTCGATTGTGCATGATCATTTTCAAGCGAAGAAACTTTGTTGTCTCTGGCTGCCGCACACACTGACTGAAGAGCAGATGACACGACGAGTGACTTGGTGTCGGGAGATGCTAAAAATGTTTTCTAAGGGTCAACCTCGGTATGTAAACAGCATTGTGACAGGTGGCGAGACTTGGCTGTACTATTATGACGTGCCTACCACGATTCAAAACAAAGTTTGGATTTTTGAAGATGAGGAGACACCCGTCGCTGTCCGAAAATCTCGATCTGTAAAGAAGAAAATGATAGTTGTATTTTTCAAATTGAGTGGAATTGTGGAGCGTGTTGTTTTGGAGACACAGAAGACAGTCACAGCTAGGTGGTACGCTGAACAGTGCCTGCCAAAAGTCATTCAATCGTTGAAGAACCTGCGGCCAAATTCAAGAATGGACACTTGGTCCCTCCATCATGACAACGCTCCAACTCACCGCGACGAAGCCTGCACGGAATATTTGACCACTACAGGACTGAAGCTTCTTGAGCTCCCTCCTTGCAGCCCAGACCTCGCTCCTTGTGACTTAGCACTGTTCCCGCAAGTGAAAATCAAGCTGAAAGGAATGCGGTTTTCCAGTGATGAGGATCTTCTGAGGGCTTGGGACAACGAGTGGACTTACTCCCTAGTGAAACTTGCCAGAACTGGTTTAGGCACTGGTTTCGGAGGATGAAAAGGTGCATTGAATGTGGCGGAAATTACTTTGAATAAATGAAATAAATAAACAGATGTGCCTTTTTGGTTTCAAGTTTGGCGTGTTTGTAATTGTTCGTAACCAATGGCTAAAACATCTACCATTGTTACATGGCAGAGCCAGTTATTATAACTCATTAAACCTCAATCTTTTTCGCTGTCGCCGTGCGAGCTTATTTTCGTCGACTAGTACACGCAGGTCCATTGACGTATGCGCCATCTGCTTGTTATCTGATATAATAATAGGACTATTGAAGCTGTCAGGGCACCATTATTCCAGGGCTTCTTAAGAGAAAGATCGTTCTCTGGGAAAGTGTCTCCACACCTTGCCGAATCAGGGGCTCCTATTACGAGTTCCTTTTATGTTCGTAGCAACCAGATCACCGAGAAACAACATAATTCAGCATCTTATATAATTGTGGTGATAACGCGATTTACGTTCTCGTTTGTTACAAAGCCCAGTTGGTGACACCAACATAATGTCACTTGCTCTTCTCTTTTTTCCTTCTCATTAACTACTTTTTCCTTCTCTTCTCCTCCTCCCCTCTCATTGGTGTCACAGTGTCATATTGCAGGGGTCGCTGCAACACGAAGCTTATAATGCATGAGTGACAAGTGGGTTGCGTCAAGCAGGGGCAATACTCCAAATTTACCAAGTAACTAGCAGCCTGCAATAGCAAAAGTGCTGCTGAACAAAAATACACAAATTTCCAAAAAGTTGCATGCATACGGCTTAAGAGCAACATATAAATACTCTCTTATAACACTGCAATAAAAACATTTCATCAAAACGGTTTAATTGAATACTGTAATAAAATGATAATGTATCAATTAAACAGTTCTTTATATTCTATAAAACCAATCCCAAAAATGGCTGCACCACACCGCAATGTATGAATAGCAAATACTTAATTGAGGTCTGCATCCTCTTTTAGCTTTGCTGTTGCGTGACTTCAGCTGCGTAGAAGGCAGTAACGCTCTGAGTACGGGAATTCAGACGGTGCGCGTAATTCGAGAATAAGTGATATAACAAATATTTGCATTTTTAGACAAAAACGAAACAGTTTAATTGTTTTTGGATTTTCCCAAAATCCTGGGTGTCTAGCAAAACAGTCACATTTCAAAAGGCCGGGATCTGCATAGTTTTCTTTGAATTTATGCCCGCTTTGAAAATTAGAAATATTAATACGTGTGCCCGGAATGTCATGATAAATACGCGAGTCGCGAAGCGATTTATCTGAAAATTTCCGAAGTACACGTGGTATTTAGTGCGACTATTTTGCGAATAAATATATTAATAAACTCCAACTATTAAAACATAGAATAAGAGGAAGAAAGTTTCTTATTGTGCGATTTAAATAGCTGTAAATGCTAAAACTACTGTAAATCGTTGTATCCTGTAATTAGTTCTTTTAATAAAATGGAATATGAATGACATATATATTTATAGAATTCTCTTGTTTCATTAATGTTCTTCCCTATTAATAAAAAAACCTAGTTGGTAAGAAGAAACATTCAAATAATTAATCAAACTATTATTAAAATTACCGCAAGCGGTGGCTCAGAGCATCAACTGATGTCACTGATGCCTCTGATCCGGAGTTCCTGGGTTCGAGTTCGGAATGTGGCAGGATTTACGATACTAACTACACAGAGCTAGGTCGAATTCAATCGCTGTCTGGACGAGAATTCTAGCGGTCGACTGCTCTGATCGGTAGTTTTCTGTGGTTTCAACCAGGTGAATTCCGGAGCAATGCGATAACAAAAGGGCCACGGACCGCGCGCGATCTTTCCTTCCTCTTCCTTATCCTATCCTTACCCTTACTTAGACACTCGTACATGAATTGCACTGCGACACCTGCCAGGAGACCGGTCGGGAGCTTAGAGCTTTTCCCGGCTGGGGCGGCGCCCGCTGGTGGGAGATACCTGTTGGGAAGCCTCACTAGCCGCCGAGAGGGTCGACGCCAGATCTCACCGCACAGCGAGGGGGAGATCACCACCACCTCCCGAGGACGTAACGTGCACTACACTTACGGAACCAATGACCTTTGATTAGCGAATCCGAGCGGGTCAACGGCAATCAATCAAATATTAAAAATTATAGGAATTATGTTTTCTTTCCCTTTAGAAATGGATAAACACGCCGAATTTCGCACTTTACTTTTATAGAGTGGGTTGTTGTATCTCTACGGTTTCAATGCTGAGGTGGAATGTACAGTTATTTTAATAAGTTCCCATTCTTGGATACCACCTTTTAGCATACGAGACTATGTAGATCATCGAAACGCTTATCTCTTCAAAACGTGTTTCCGCACAATGGTGCAATGTTCTATTAACAGATTGAACTGTTTATTTCTACAGAAAACTACAATGTACATATTCTGTAGGATAAATCTATCTGACTATTGAAAAAAAAATCACGTAGCATAAATTACACTGACGGAAAAATTCCACAAATTTTTGCTGCAAGATGTGAATAGTTCAAGTTTGAATAAGTTATTTCTTACAATGGGTCATTCAGTACTCGAGGAAAAAGTCATTTTAAACATTCACACTATGAAATATAGTGATACTGCACCATTCCACGTATTCAGTAATGTCTGAAAAGACTTTTTGTATTTCAAAACAAAATAAAGAAAGCTAAGTTGCTATACATGTCAATTTCTCACAAAATCATTTTTGAAATAATTTTATTGATTCAAATTGACAAGTGGGAAAATCTTTGAAGAAGTATTCTTGGATGCTTATCGTTTTCATGTCTTACGTAACACCATAGTTATGCAATATTCCTACATGGTCATGATTTATTCTACTTCACAAAACAAAATACTTGTTTGATAGAACACACGTCTCTTTCTCTTTCTCTCTCTCTCTCTCTCTCTCTCTCTCTCTCTCTCTCTCTCTCTCTCTCATCTGTATTTTCTTTGTTACGTAAATATTATTCTAGTAGTGTCTGCTCCCGAGGCGGCCATGTTAGTATCCACCCCGCTTGCAAAATAACGCGAGTGCGTCTGATTGCAGGCAAGCGCCGGTGTACTCCTCCCGGGGCGTCTTGCACACCAACACCGCCGTCACCAGCGTCATGAGGTTTGTTTGCCCCATTTGCGGCAAGAAGATTTCCACCAAAGGGAATCTCAAAGTGCACCTCGAAACGCATCGCCCCAAAGGAAAATACGGTTGTGATATTTGTGGTCGAGTGTGAGTATTGTAGTGGAATTGTGATAAACCTATTTATTGGCATGTTTGATTTTTAAGACTTGATTTTTAATGTCATTTGGTAGTAATTTAACACCCGAACATAACAAATTTATAAATCAATTAAAAAAACCAGCGCGGCCGTTTTGCGATCATTGTTGTTCCTGCTGTCCACGTACTAGGCGCTAATTGAGGAGAATATCACGAATGAACTCAATGCCCCAAAAAATATTTTTTACGGTCGTAGAATGTTCAAGTGATTTTCTTCCGGAAATCCTTTGATATTTAGGAATTCAAACATCCCCAAGGATTTCACTCTATTATGCATAACAATCACGACGCATTTATACCATGTGGATGTCACTGTAACTTGTGGATACTCTTTCAAGATGTTTATTTCCTTTCAAACTCTACTGGTGAGCTAACCGAAGATGTTTACTAACGACCAAGTAATTTGAATATTCAAACTATTACTATGTATACAATTTTTGAAAAGACATTAAAAAAATTTCGGTGATTTTATAATCCATAATACATAAAAAATGCATAATTAGAAACAACAACGTGAACCTCCTTGAACTGGTAATTAATTAACAAGTATTTGGACAAGGAAAGATAAAGTGGCTACTTAACCCTTGAGTCCCAAATTATACTATTATTAGTCTAATACCTTCAAAATACAACAATAATTTTCATAACATAAATAAACAGAAGGTGGTTTCGCTGAGAATCCAGTGGAACACATTGCATTTAACCATCCATCATTTACTGTTGAATTTTTCGAAGCAATTTCTGATTTTGCCTAGACACAACCCCACATTACACACTTTGTAGTGCTATTTGGTCCTATGGGGTCAGCTTTTGTGCTATAATGTACACAACAATGTGAACCTCCTTGAACTGGCATGTGTTCTGCAGCAGGTGTTTCTAAGTCCACATCGCTCAGAATTTCTTCTAAAACACTGACAATTAGATCATGAACATGTAACATCTTATAACTTCCATTAAGTCATAATGCACAAGAGAAATAACTAATCTACAAGTAACAAATATTATCTACAATATAATTAATTACAGACCAATAACCAAATTGGCGAAAGTACGTAGTGGCCCGGTGGTTTCTACTCGAAGCCATACGTAAAATTACTAATATAGATTCCAATTTACGTAAAAATAAGTTTATGTACACTTACAAATATATTGACTTTCAGTACATGTACGAACAATATGTTTGCTAAAAATATCCTAGCTTGAAGTAAATTATACAAGAAATAATTGCAAAAATAAAACTCCTGCAATTTAGAAGCAAGAACGTAGCATCAACGATTCATTTTCAAATTTTCAAATGGCCAGTAAAAGGAGCTCAATTCGTGAAAGAGTATCGAACAACCTCCTCTGGGATTTCCGAACCAAAAAAAAATTAAATGGCGGTTTTGGGGAGAGACCACTGGTACTCAAAGGGTTAATAAAACTTAAACATTCGCAATTTAACATATTAGTTATATGTTAACTCTTAACTATTAGAAATACTGATATTGTACTAATATTAAGAAATAATGGATGTCATCTCCGTCAAATTAATATATTTATTTAGAGAGTTTCGACGTCTCGCAAAGCAGTCATCATCAGTGTCGCTGGGTGGCAAAAGTCGGGAGACAGTACACTGACTTTGCCACACACAGCGAGACTGATGACGACAAAGCCGTCGTAAGCCATCTCTCTAAATAAATAGTCCACGTCTGTGCACTTGTCACTGAATCCAAAATGGAAGAGGGTTCAAGCAAAAATTCAGTAGTACACGTAGAAATTAAACGAAGCATTCTAAATCTGTCAGTGTAATAAACAGAAGAATCCAAAAAAGTACATTTTGTAATCCATCAGCTCCATGGTCAGAGGTAAAAATAGCAGAGGTGAAAATAACAAGCATATAGAAGGAGGAAGTATAGAAGATTTTATTTCCTTTGAAATGAATTTGAATAAAGATACACTGTAATTAATGTTTTACGCCAAGTGTCGATACAGAATGTGACATTCACATTTTATGTTATTTGAATAAATTAATATTTAAGGTACAGTATATTGCTAGGAATGACTTTTGTAAATGATTTTTAACATTCGAACAGTTTCAAGACACAGTCGAATCTCTATCGGCATAAGGACTATCATGGAGGTGTGCAATTTCCATGTGGAGTGTGCGGGAGAGTGTACCCAACCAACAGCACACTTAGAGCCCACAGCATTACTCACAGCGACTTGCGACCACATGCCTGTCCTCTGTGCGATAAGACCTTCAAGCGCAATCAAGATCTTAAGGTAAGTCATTTCTTGTTACTATTGTCTGCAATTTCAAATTTAAAAATATTTTTTACTGCATGACAAACCGTATTTTATAATAATATGGTTTTAAAAATCAGAAAATATTTGATAAATCATTTAATAATGAACAAAGATTACTCTTTGCTACACTGCACACTGAAACATTCTAAATTACAATATAGAGTACTCTGGGGAAGTGGAAACCACGAAACTAGTGTTTTAAAATGTTTTAAAATGATGAACTCATCTGACTGAGAAAACTAAAACCAGTTAAAATCAAACTTCGCAAAAAGTTCGTACATGAGGAGATGCTGTATTTGCCTACTGTACCGTGAACAATCGAAACATGATCCCGAAGTTTTCCACTTAATGTTAAATTTGTTTTTTAGATTTAGAAACCCGAATTCAATTGGTTTTTCTATCGACAAATAATTGGTATAAATGTAAGTACAAAATGTTATGTGAAAAAATTGAACAGAAAAATACGACAACAAAAAAAAAGCCTTACTGCATTCTGATATCAGAGATTGGAAGAGTAATATTTGGCTACTGGCACCGTATTTGTGTTCGAGTAAGAAGAGAAAACATTGTTTCCATTTACTTCATATAGTGGGAAAGCAGATTGTCTACTTTTCCTTTCTTTTTCAGATAATGTTATTAAAGTTATTGCGTAAACTGTATGTTTATACTTGAATAATAAGATAACCAAAACTATCACTCATAACACCCAATAACGTTCCGAACTGGATATATTAATACTCCCAACTTCATATATCATTCTTATAGTAGTTTCCACTTGCCCCAGATGTACCCTGAATTGAAAGACAACCTGCGGCATCTGCAATGCTGCGAATCCTCTCTTCAATTTACACAAGGCAAGATCTTGGCAGGGGGAGGGGAAGGGGGGAGTTGAAGCTTTTACATATGAAACTGAAAAATTTAGTTAGTGAATATAAAGGAGTCGAATATCTCAACTGTAGAACGAGCGATGCGAAATATGTAGAAATGGTCCAAATACATCAAATAACAACAAAAAAGTTTATTTTGCCAAGTGTTTACAATATTCCATATCCAAATCAGTGCAAAACTCTTCGCCAACATACCGTATATCCAGGAGAGAAAGTTATATCCAAAACCAGTGACCGATATACCAGAAGAATACAAATTACACAGCACAAGTCACAGTTTCTTCCGAAGAATAATCATGACCCTATCCAGTTCACGATACTAAACACTCGTTACTCGCTACAACCGCACTGCTGGTTTCAATCTGCAAATGACACCGTCTGTCTCCGATGCCCACATCTCAGAGTGATGTCAGACGCTGACTCGTTCCAGGACCTGCGTTGCAATGTCCCTACATCGACAAGGTGTGATACAAAAAATGGGTGGGTGAAATTTTATAGTAGCAACTACCGACCCTGCATCCATTTGCATTAATACAATATGTCCGATAACTTGATCTGTTGAGATGGGCATGTGAAATTTGAACACGTTATGACTTGTCAGTCAGCTCCCAGAACCGCTGGAGTCGGGTTTACTGTGTCGCGAATCATGGATTTTGAATAATGTATTAAGATTAAGTTTCATTAATTTTGTTTAAGTAGACAAAAAGTGCCAAAGACGTTCATGAAATGTTCAAATCAATTTAGGGCAATAACGAGGTAAGTTTATCTTAGGATTGTTTACAAGTGGTACGATTGATTTAAAAGCGGAAGTGTGTTGATTGAAAACAGGCATTTCGGTCAAAGAAAACTTTCATTGACCAGACCATCTGCAATACGCACTGGATATGGTGTTACCTTTGATCTAAAAACAGATGAAAACGTCCAAAAAGCTTTTTTGTTCAAACAGAACGCAAAACTTGTTTGTTCATAGAGACGAATGACTACGCGAAAGCTCATCGAAAAAGTTATCTCGTGCGGGTCCGCACAAAGTATTTTAACCGATAACACAAGTGTACTAAAAAAACTTTTTTATATCTAATAACTGATTTTATATATTTAAAGTGCATTGATGTATTTTACTTCTGACAGGGTTCCTGGAAAGCAGTCTAAATGGGAGTGAAGGAAACGCACTTTCAGATTCATGTTTCATCCTAAGGCTTCATCCCTTTTCAGCATATTATTTACGTAATACTCATAGTTTGGATGTTCATAATTTCCCAAAAGCTTATTAACTACTTCTTTGAAGCCAATCCAAGCTTCCCCTTCCGGAGGTGTCATGCATGCTTCAAAATGTTCATCTTTATCTAGTTCTCTGATCTGCGGCCCTACAAAGAAATTTCTTTGACGTTTCCTTCTGAGAGGCCGGAAAATTTGGTTAGGTACTTAAAACAACTTCTATTTTTATCCAGTGTCTTAGTAAACTGCTTCATTAATCCCAATTTAATGTGTAAGGGAGGTAACATATTTTTTTCAGGATCTACTAAGCTGTTTTTCTTGGAATCTGGAATAAGTGTGTCTCTTCTAGGTCATTCTCGTGTTGTACAATGATTCTTTCTCTCTCGGCTGTCACATTCACACGTGTGACATGGGTACTTGGTGTAACCTTGTAGTTGTTCTAACAACATGCACAAAACCTTGAAATCACCGCAAATCATCCATTTGTATTCATCATAATTTATCTTTTCGAGTTTTGCAATTTAAGATTGTCATATGTCTCGTTAAGATGTACGGAATGCGCGACTAGTACAGATGCTAAAGCGTCACCAATGGGTAGCAACACACATTTTAAACTTTATTTGCTTGAATCAGTGTAAAGTCTCCATCCATCTGTTCTATATACTCTTCCTAACTTATTTATGAGGTTTGGAATTCGAGCGCAATATTTAGTATACCAAGAAGTTTTCCTGATTAAAAAAACGTGTTAAGTCTCTCTCTCTATGTTTGTAAACTGTAACATACGATCCTGGAGCTAAAAAAATATTTTTTATAGACGTGAAGCTAAAACTTCAGAAGCATCCTTTGAGCGATTTAAATCTGTAACAAATCATTCAGTTCTGTTTGTGTTAAAGGTTTGAGTTTGTGCTGGTTGCTTGCCTAATAAGATTCTTCAGCTGATTCGCCTGGCGTTGAACTTGAATCGGTATGTAGTGCTTCGAGATTTAAAGGAGGTTCTAGTATACGAACATCAGTGTCACGTGGTACAGGCCTAATCAGGGTGAACCATCCCATGTGTGTTCTTTGCATTGAATCCTTTTACTTCGCAAATACAAAACTAACAATCATTTAGATGGTTTTTTGACTCCTGCCACACCATTGAAACTCCAAACCTCAATGCCTTTCTCTTCCCCTTCGACCAGTTTCTTAACTCTGCAACACAAACACTGCACACTTTATGAGGGGCCCACGGTTTACTCTTAACCCCCAGTTTCATTCCAAAATAAGCGTTATAAACACTACTAACAATTTAGTATAATTCTGTGTCTGTTTTGCAATCATAAAATGCCCACAAATATAACAAAATGTATTTGGGTCATTCACGCCCTTTCTTTGCGTGATAATAGCACAACAAATATTTAAAGAAACGAACTAGTTCTTCGAAACACACTGCTTGAATATATTGGTAAACACTGGTTTATTTAACTTTTTGAATATATTGGTAAACACTGGTTTATTTAACTTTTGCACATGGTCTGCATATACAAGCATGGAGCTATATATATATATATATATATATATATATATATATATATATATATATATATATGTATATATATATATATACATGTATTCATAGGTCTATGAATATAATTCTATAACGTGCTGCCATCTGACTATTCTGTTACAAAATCATGCAAAGTGAACTGACATTATCAACTATCACGAATAATTCTCCGTATTTTCTCACACTGTACATTACATAGGTCTTCCGAATATATCCGACGCGAGGTCGGACCAGGAATACAGCGACTGTCGGTCGTTTTGGAAGGGGCAGAGTCAAATCGACTGATTGATTATATTGAGGCTTCGAAATGCTTCATTTTACGTTCGCGGGATGGGAGAGTTGGCATCGTTTGTCGACATATTGAAAGAATTATTTTGGTTATGAAGCCATTCTGAAAAGTGAAAAAATTAAGACTGTCATCACACGTTGGCGTTAGAATCTGATTTCCAACACTAAGAATTTCAAGTAAAATATGTCACCTGCCCTGGGAGTTCTCAGTTACATTTTTTCACAGTCTATTCGCTTGCATGTACGCGCTTCCATTAGCCTTTGGCGCAAAAACATGCGTGCCCACGAAGAGAATGCTTCTGCAGCAGACAGGGATTTTCGATAAAGCATTGAGCGTCCATAAATAATAGCGCCGAGGTATACGAAGATGTCTCCCTCGTATCATGCGATCCGTCACAGCTGGTATGATTGTTGATTTAAACAAAGCGTGTTAACAGCGTTTTCAAAGAGATTGCCTTGGTTTTCAATAATCTTGGCGATGGCTGTTTGGACGGCTATTCGGACTGGGCTGAACCCTTCTATCCACGCTGCAAAGCAGTTTTGAAAGAGTTTCTCTTAGAAATATTGTTTTCTTTTTCTCTGCAATAAAGATAGCTGTTTTTGAAGTAAAGAAAAATTGAAGTGCGCTATGTTTAAAATTCCCACTCTTAGCTCTAATTTATGGCTTAGAGAAGTTATAATTGTTTCATTTGAGGTTAGGCGCCAAATCTGGCCTAATCTTCGGCGCTTATGTGTTAACAGGCTAAGTTTGTTTTCAGTTTCATATAAATCAGCACACGGGGGCGCGGCCGTACCAGTGCCCGTACTGCCCCAAGGCCTTCGCCAGCTCGGGCAACTGCTTCTCGCACCGCAAGCGGATGCACCCTCAGGAGGTGGAGCGGGACCGCGAGCGGGCGGCGCAACTCATGCGGTGAGGGGCGGAGGAGGTGTAGAAGCCCGAAATTTGCCTCGAGCCTCCTTCCTAGACAGAAGTAGGTGCTTTTACGTACAGCATGGTTCAGTTTGTTTTTTTCTCACTTGGTCCATTTATTGCAGTTGTATTTGTTATGAAAAGGAAGGCTTTCATAGTCGTAGTGATGTATCTATTGCAGTTTACATTACATATCAATTTACGACTTCAAGATCAAAAAATTCAAAGTGAAAGTGAAGTAAGGTCTAGTTTATCTTTAGCTATCATGTTATTTGAAAAATTAACAAAGCGTTTGGTCCCTTTCGTTGATATTTTTACCCTTCTTCTATATGTCCCCTTTTCCGGGTGGGTCTCTACATGTGTTTTCACTTCACACTACTTGTCTAATTTAGAGTGAACGGTGATCTGACTTTTTGGAATTCAATTTCTTTTTCAGGTTTGAAAATGTAAATTTTTCAGGATGTGTTTTGCACATTACAACACTATTTATTAGCAAAGATAACTTCACCTGCTCTCCTATCAGAAATAAGGTGGATTTCCCTCTGAGTATCGTAGATGACATCAGACCCGACACATTACTTTAAATATGATAATGTGGGCAGAGGGATACTTGTACCTTAAAACCTGCGAAAAACGGAACCTTACGGTTCCTTCAAAAATGTCCATTTTGACAAGTTTCCATCTTATGGAGGGTTGCCAAAAATTCACCATATAACATAAGAACAATATTTTCGATATAATTTCCCCCTTTTAACCATTCGTTTCGAATTTTGTCCTTATGTTCTAAAATGTCATAAATTTACTCACTTTGAATTTCACAACTAGGTCTTTTGAAGAACGTTTTTTCCTTCTAGTGTTCATCAATCTCTTCCATTTTCTTCTGTAGCAGAAGAGGTTTTCGTGCACGTTCGCTTCAATGTCATTTGGACACACTACCACTCGTCTTTCCTACTCTTTTCTACGAGAGGTCACTAAATTGTGTGCTCTACATGTCATCAACCCTATGACTGCAACGCTACGATGACAAAACAACCTTTGCGGAATTCCATTGTCGACTGATGGAAACGTGGTGACGCTTTTGAGAATTGAGCAGGGGGGGGGGGGCGACAAACGTTGAGAATCCGGAACGACAGCGGCGAAGTCGCGCTTGTTGAGATCTTCAAAATCCCAGCGAAACAGTTGCCGGGCTCACTCCGGGATGGCAGGTTTCCGTCTTACAGAGGTCTCGGACAAGTTTTAGTGTATCTGGTTAAACTATTTGTTTCATTTGTACAATTACCTGCCACTCTAGAGAGTCATATTCATATCACAATTTAGTTACATTAATTACAAGTCAGATTCAAGAGAATGGTCGGCGCAGGATAAAATTACCTTCACACGGAATTGAGACTACTGTTCTACATTAGATATCTTCGTAACATTGCATACCAATTGGGTTGGGGAAGCAACAATGCATGTTGATTTTTTCCCTTTTAACTTTATTTTGGTTGCGAGTTACTCTTTCATCGCTTAGAATTTTTATTATTAGAACTTTTTTAACCGTAAGAGATTGATTTGTCTTCAAAAGCTCATAGAAAGTTTAAAAAACAATTCAAAACAGTCTTCATGCAATTAATCGCTTCGTGTAAAGTTGGGCTAAATGTATTAAGTACATAAGGTATACAAAAATAATAAATCAGATATTAATTACTTGATTAGGGGTAAGATTAGAGATAATAAGGCAGAGGATAAAATTAAATTACTGAAAACGAACTATTGTAATCTGATATCCAAATGATATTACCGTCTTGATGAATTCTTTCCGGCAAACCATGATTGAAAAGGGAAACATACATTTTCTTTCTAAATTCCTCATAAAAGTTTATAATACATATTTATAAAATATAATGCACAATTTTGAATTATTTATCTTTGAAATAATTCTTTAGGTTAAGCATTTTAAAATGTATTTATTTATTATTTCATTTTCAGAAAATGAACATTGTATACGTCAAGATGAAAATACTTGCTGCAGTTGAGTGGTAAGGTTTCATTTGGTGAGTCGAGTGGGAACCACACATATAAATATATACAAAAGTGTATTTGTAATGGAAAAACAATTACAGCCTTTGCATCTCTCTAGGGCAACTTGCAATAATTTATCAAATTCTTCAAGATCATTATTTTATTGAATAATAATTTTAAGAAGATAACATCATGACTATGCTTTTTGAAAAGCTTATCTGCTGACATTTTATAATTATTTCACTCACATTCTTGCAATAGAAAATAGTGTTTTGAATCAAATCAATGAGACACTATACTACTCAGGGCGCAAAAGTTGAAGGTAATGAACCTTACACTTACTTTCACAATTTAATGAGAAGTAATTTTTACATTGATGGCTGTTCAAAATTATGAGCTGCAATTAATTGATTAAATGTTCATATTATTTAATTCAATGCACATACAAATTTGTCCATGATTTTCTTTTCAAGAACCACACAGGAAATAAACATGATACATATTTGACAAAGACAGTGATTGTGATGTCTTAAATGCTAATATGTTTCTAGACTTCATGAATAATAAATAAAGTTAGCATCATTTGAGTTGCACCACGTCAATTATTCATGCAAATCATTTTCAGTTCTTTAAAGTGTGTTATAAAACATTAATTTTTACCATTTCAAAATCTTTGCCAACAAAACATTAATATTCAATGAAATAATAATTTAGAGAAGATGTGGCACACCAAGAATCATGGATCATGTAAAAATTTGGGGAAAATATGGCACACTGTGCATATTGAAGAGGTAAAGACATTATACAATTCTTCTCCATTGCTTGTATTTTTATTAAGCTGCCCATTTACTTGTTTTATTTTTGTGGATAATTTATTCATTGAATAATTCATTACAAATGCTAAATTAATTTATAAAAACGTATTCAATTAAGGTTCCTTCAATTTTGATTTTGACTTTAAACAAGATTTATATACATTAAAATCCAATTAAAAATACATTTCTTGATAGAACTTTATTTTAGTTTGGTAATCTTCCAATTATAATTTAGTGTAGAGTTTTATTTATTACAACAATGATATTAATTATGATATAATTTGGGAAAAGTTATTGTCAATTTTTTATTTCAAAGGCAGTAACTAAGAATAATTCAAATGATTTAAGTGTGTAATTATTTTGAAGAAATTGTAGCACAAACCATAAAGAGAGTGAGAGAAGGAGAAGGGGAGAGAGAAAAAAGACAAATGAAAATTGGTGTGCTTTTATTTTTCACACAGGTTCATTATTATGAACACCATTTCAGTTTATTGTATATTTCTAGATTATATCAATCATGTTTAAGATTTTCCATTAATTACTTTAAATTGATATATTATTCTAAATTAAAATTCTAAAATAAATGAATAGCCAACATATAATGTTATTTCAATCAGCAGAACTGACAACTTTTCAAAAGGTTTCATTAGATTGATTTAAAAAATCAATTACACCAATCAAACACTGTACTTTCACTTCATTATAAATAAAAAGTACAGTTGCTGTTAAGTACTATTACGTGTTCACTGACAATTATCTTTAAAGAAGCCTTACTTAGTACCTATATGTAGTATTAGATTGAATGTTGGACCCCTATAAGTTATTAGAGCCTGATTGAGTTTGCATCGTTGAATGTATTTATTTCACTCTGTTATGAGTAAACAAAGCCTATTTATGGGAATTGGTGAATGAGTGTAAATGAATGAAAGAGAATGTGCATAGAAAAAATGGAAATAATGCAGTGTGCTATTTTTGTGTAGATGGCCCTCCCTATTGTTGTTATGTGAACAACTTTGGCTCGAGGCATTGTTGGCAATGTGACCCATTTATAAGACATGTTATTAGCAGGCAATCATTGAAAATACTCAATACCTCATATAGCAAACCTAATCCACATAATAGGTTTTCTATTCCTTAGATAATGCTGAATACTGAACATTAATGTTAAGAAAATAACACTAATGTTGTAAAATAGTAAGACTGCAAGGTTCACATCCTGTGTCCCTCTTGGCAAACTTAATGTTAGTCTTAACTTATACTGTAAACCTGCGTCATCTGACAGTTGCATTTGTTACTTGCTTGAGTCATAAGTGTTGGATGTTGTAAAGACATAAAAATAGAAATATATTTTTTAGAGTTTTTATCAGTTCTGTATATGTCACGCATAACAATCATACAAAGGAGACTATTTTCAGAACATTTATTCTTGAAAATGCACTGTTCTGGGTTTTGGTGCTCCTTGTTACCACTGTTTTCAGTAAGCATGTTATTCATTTCTAAACATACATTCTTAACAAACTACCTCATTAAATCCGCAGGCATTACTATCACATTTCAATACAATAGACAGATTGAAAATGTTCTTTTTCTTCATGGGTCTTGTTTCACCAACAGTTACGGGATTTGAAATGTATAACATGTTTACAAGTGCTGAATATACCTACTTGAAAACTAACCACAACAATTAGCACAGTAGATTTGATTTCAGGGAGACTGCAATGAATTCAATAGTGTGTGCTGTATTTGTTAATGTAGAAAACAATTTGTCCTCAGATTAATACAAACGAGAAGCTAAGGTTTCCTTCTGTATACAATTGTAAATCACATTTTTTTTCTCAGATGCAGCAGCATAAATATTATTCCCATCATTAATGAATAAGCAGGACTTCTGATAATAAGTGCAGATACAATCCATTGTTTAATTTTGAAAATGATTGACAAAAATCTATTTAAAGCAAGTTATGAGTGTACTACTTCAAAAGAATTCTATGCAGAACATATTATTTCATGTTTGAATGCATATGTTCACAGAATAATCTACTATTGTGCTTTATGAAAAATCAGGCTACACTCAGGGTGCCAAACTTATATGAAGATGAGCATGTCATCAATTTAATATTCAGGTTTCTCTCCATGACATACATGTTCTTCTCACATGTGATGACAGAGCAGAAAACAGATTTGTGACCAGAAACATTTACATGATTCTATTACAGCAAGGTTATGAAATGTGCACAAGTTATAACATTTCTATCGAAAATATTATCTCTATTAAAAAAGATTCTACAACCTTACCAAGAAAATTTAATTTCTTATAAGTTATTTATTGCAGATATTATTCAATTACATCTTAATGACTGGTGATTATTTATCTACAAGGCAAATACCAGATTACTGTTTCAACAAATTGCTGAGTGGTAACTGAGCATAATATTTATTAACAAGATATTAACAGTCACCTAACATGCCAAGTATTTTATAAGAACTCAAAAGGAATTGCTACGTTATGATGGAATGTTTGGTTTGAATTAGGATTTTAAATATGTTCACACAATTGATTCAATTGATACTAGATATTAACCAGAGATATGTTTTAAGTTTTAATGCCAAACTCATCTGTGATCCTTTTTCTTTATTTAACAATAAGACAATTGTTTCTGTTTGGTTCTATATGCTGTTATCACATTCCTTCGTTTATTTATTATCATTATTGAAGATTCTTTAGGTCGATTAGATTTTGAAATGAAGTCAAGAAATTTTTTAAAAGTGTTATTTGTGTTTGTGGATCAAATTGTTGAATTAAATAATTTGAAAATATTTTATATTTTATGTTGAATATAATTCATTTCTTATATTCATAAAATTTCTATTATCTTCTTTAATTTGATGTATATGCAAGTTATTTCAGCTTACTGTGATCAAAGACTTTAAAAAATATCAATTCTTTACAGTAATGGTTCTCAAATAAGTATTTTCTCTGAAAGTAAACCATTATTCAGATTTATGTAAGTCATAAAATGTTACAATTATCTTGTTCCTTTAAGGATGAAAAATACAAATATTTTGTTCCTTTAAGGAAGATGAACACAAATATTATATTTACGTATTTTTCAGTAATATAATATTCATGTAATTTTCTTGCTAAAATTATCATTTATTAGAAAAATGAATTACCATCACACAAGTTGTTGTATTTTTTCCCCCCACTTTGCTAAACAATTGTTTTCTTCTTAAGAACATAGTGTTTTTTTAAAATTTATATTATAGATGTGTCATTAGATGCTCTGCTTTGAAAACTTTAATTTTGAATTTCTCCCTCCAGATTATTTATTTCAATACTGATTTGTTTTCTAATCAGAAAAGAATTTTCAGATCATATGTACTAAAATGAATAATTTTCCTCTTAGTCATCCTTTGAATCTGAATTTGGAAGGAATTTCTTTAGTTCTTAAGAAGAGTAGACATTACATTTTTAGAATGTAAGGTAGGCAATACCAATATTTGAGAACCATAACTCCTTGAGAATCAATAGTAAGAAGTGCACGTACTTATAGAACTAACTGTAAGAATTAATTTGTTATAATAAGCAGCTTTTAGGCATTTCTTTGTTTTTGTGAGCGTGTGTGTGTGTGATTTGTGATTAACAATAGACAAAGAATCATTCCAATAAACTTGTGATAGTTTTTATCCATATTTGAACTGAATCATATGAGTGATGGTCATATATGAGTCTCCACTTATTAACCCTCCAACTTAAATGTCGCAATGTTATTATTTTCATGGATGGTTCAGGTGTTAATTTTACTCATTAAGTTTACAGCAACTCTTTTCTTTAAAAATGTAGCAGTATCATTCCTTAAGGGTCTAACACAGGGAGATTTTTATACATAGACTGGAAATTTTATTTGGAAAAGTGATATTTATGAACAAGTTCATTTCTACCATAATTTTTTAAATAAAATGATGAGCAAACTGTGTATTTATATATCCATCCCTTCTTAAGGATAATATCCAGTCAATATATTTTCATTTAATGTAATACATAGTAGGATGTTAAGTAAACAATTAGCAAATTGTATACTCATTTTCAAATATATTAAAAATGTTATTTTTTTGTTATTAGGATTTTTAATTAATTAGGATATATAAGATCTAGTCAATGCTTTAAATCACTGACCTGTGTGTTAGATTCTTTAATGAAACAATTTATGATAAAATTCATTCTAAACAGCGTATGCCAGTTGAAATCTTGGCACAATCAAATGTATGTTATTTATAAATACAAGATAAATACTGAACTGTGTTTAGAGTGGTGCCAGTTCATATCAGTTGTTGCATGCTTGCTTTACAACAATCATGTTTTGCTATTAAAAATATTCTGTTATAATTTTTGTTTTATTTATTTAGGTTTTCTATTTAACTGTAATCATATCACAAGGTTTTTGCATCAACTGGAAATCAGATATAAGAGAATAATCCACACGAGTATGCTTTTTTAAAGCATAAGCAATGCAAAAAATCTTAGGCTGACAGTGTGGGGTGTAAGGTGTTGAGGGGCTTATATCTCAGAGATGTTAGTCAGTCATCTCAAAGACCTGGGGGGAGACTACCTTCAGACCACTTTAGCACCATGGAGTGACCGACAAGCCAATGTCAGGATTTCAGAGGGCAGGGGTGAGTATATGTGGCAAGGTGAGAAAGGTGCAAATTAGATACAGAAGTCCATTTTGCACCTCATAAATATGTTCATTAAATCAATCATTTCAGTGTCAATTTACATGAAAACAAACAATTAACAAATTCAATTTGTTATAAAAGCATTGTTCATTTAAGAATAATTTTTTTTTGAAAACTAATGCTTTATGTCCTCCATGATGGGAAAAGCACCTTTTGGCTGCTTTCAAATATCTACCAAGCCTCACAAGCAGCTGGGTTTGTTAGCTTGGTCACCCCTCCACATTTATTGTGAACTGTGAACCTTCTCAGTGTATTTCTGTAAACCAGAGATCATAAGCCACCACTGTTTTGGGAGAGTATAAAAATTATCTGTTCACTTCATACATCTTTTCTTTAATTTGGAACTAAACTTCCTTTTCTGTTAGATTTAAAATGGAAAACAAAGATCAATTTTAAGAAAAAGTGGATTGAAAATTGTTTTGTTCAAATACACAATTTTTCAAGTCATAAAAATAGTCTTTAATATTAATTTTTGGAATTTTTTTAAAGAATTAAATACCTACAAATCAATTAATTTTTGTATTGCAAGCTGCTACGATAAATTAAAATTAATTTTAATAAAGTCAATTTTCTTTGTTTCATACATAGCTGTGCTTCCAGGAAACACCAGGTGTTTTGAAAGTATCTTGTCAATCATGCTTTTTAATAAGCAAAAATACAAAATGCATTTGCAAATGCATTTTATTTTATTGATCGAGTGTATAGTTAATTGAAATTGAAGGTAGCACTTCTTTTCTTTAAGATACTCAAATATCATTCTCAATGAGATGATATAGTACTACTGATATGATTGTAAGACATTTTTTATTTCATATTGGTGTACCATTTGTACAAACGGTGTGAATTGACCTTTAGTTTCCTATGTAGGACATGAACATGTACTGTGTGTTAGACTTAGTATTCCATAGTCTTGCTTAATGTTTACTGTGATGTACCAGTTTTGCATAGGAATACTGTAAGCTTATAATAACATAACACAATTGTCAATGGTAATTAATGTGACAGTCCTTCCTAATTTGATGAACCCTTAATGATGTATTTTTATAGTACTGAATTTTCTTGTTTGTGATACATGCTTTATATGCAGAACAAGTTCATTTTTGCAACTGAGACGCAGGTTTCTGACTTGATTCTTGGGAGATGACTTCAGGAAATATACACTGTTTTTCAAAGCAATTGTTATCTATCATCACAAATATCTAGTCCGAACTCTGATATATAATAAGGTCACAATTAATTTATTTTAAACATTTTCCAGTTACCAGTATTTCATTAAATTTTCTCTAACATAGTTGAAGTCTCTAACATAGTGAAGATTTCCCCCCCAAATCTATTAGCATTTCTGTTAGAGGAAAAAAAAACAGTGTACATTTTCTTTAGTCAATGTAGTGACTTTCTGAGAAGTGCTGTGATTTTGTGTAATGCCAACTAGTTTATATACAAGCCTTGTAGCTGAAACAGTGCTTTGTTTTCTAGTAACAAAAGCAAAAGTGTGATTAACAATTCTGTATCAATGTTTTCCATAGAACAAGACATTTGCAATACACAGACTTCTACATTGATCCTCAATATTCTTTTCTAAAAATCAACACAAAACCATTGGTGTGAATTGATTGATAGAAACAGATTGTATACATAATCTGCAATATTGAGGAGTAAATACATAAAAGTACTGAGAAAATAGTCTTTTTAATACTTTTTATTATTATTATTATTATTTTGCTTTGAAACTTTACTTTTTTCCTACTTCCTGATTTTATCATCAGAAGTCCTGGCATCTCCCAACTCTAATACAAATTATTAAAATGCAAATGAATATTTTTATTAAGAAGTATTACTTTAAATACGTTTACAGTAGTATTAGCATGGTAAAAGAGCAAGATATGGTGTCCTGGAGAGACTACTCTGCTTGGTCCACCGATCCCATAAGTATTTGCTTACCAATTATAGCAGACATCTCCTAATGAGGTTTGGCCTATCAGTTTCAGTCCCAGCCCATGGACATGCCAGACAACACCCACGCTTTCAAATTATTGCAACTTATTACCGCATTCACACTGTTCCAAATAATTTCTTCTTGTAAGATGGAGAGCTTCACTTCAGTGTGGGAAGGGGTAACAATTTTCTCCTTGGGCAAGAGAGACGTTTTAATGTAAAAACTTAAGGAGCTACACCTGTTCATTTTTTTCAAATTATTCGAAATTTACGAAGTAAGTTATACTCGGAACTTTAAGCATTTTTTTGACATTACTTCCAGAGTGAAGTGAACTACCAATGATATTGGGTAAGTGGAAAGCAGCGGCAGCTAAATTATCTTAGAAATACCCACGATCGCGGGCGCCCACGGGAGCATACGCAGTTGCGAGACGGAAGATCATTAGATTCGTAACACGCAGATACCTGTGGGTGGTGTAGAACGTGTAAGTGTGTGTGAGTAAGCGGAGAGAATAGGACAAGAAAGACGAAGGAAAGATTTCGCGCGGTCCGTTTGATAAGATACTACTCCGGCATTCGCCTGGAATTAATTGGAGATGCCACAGAAAACTATCGCTTTTCCTCCGATTGAATTCGACCTAGCGATGTAGCAACATTCACTGTCGGGACCCGAACTCTCGGGGCCTCTCGGCCAGAGTTACTGCAGAGGCAGCGGCAATGCTGGCTCTCAGCTCAACTGAGTGAATAATTAGGTCGAAGTAGATGTAGTTTGAAGAATCAAGTAGTTAGAAGAACTAACTTTTTAATCAGGTTATTTTGCAAAAAATACAAAATCACAGCAGGGAAGTATTAAGCGTAGGGTGGGTACGAAGATTCGTTTCTTTGAGGGCAAACAGTCTAGTAATAGTGGGGACGGTTTGCTGATGCCCTGACGTGGCAAAGGAATAAAACATATGATTTAAAACTAATTTAATACTGAACTTCAAGTATGATACGCACATGGGAGAATGAAATGAACCGCTAAATAATTAAATACACCCCAAAACGTGAAATTCTGTAATGTGAAATTCCAATTAGTAACGACTTCAGGACGTTGGAAGTTTGGCGAAACATTAGAGAAGGTACTTCAGTAAATTAATTGGTGGTTCTGTAATAAGGAACAAGCTCTCCGCGGAAGTGAAGGTAATATTTGCCGATTGATGCGAATTACAAGAATCCACGAATAATATATTTACTTGTATTTTAGCTTTAAGTGTTAGTACTTAAGTTACCTCGAGAGAGGCCAAGGGACATCGACGTTTGGTGAGAGGCAATGCAGCGGCAGCTGAACTTCGTGGCGGTCAAACAATCCCGGGAATCTATTCATCTGTTCATTCGCTGTCAGGGAACATTGCGTTCCGTAGATTCATTACGGAACAGAAAAAAGATGGAGAACGAATAACTATAAAGATTAGAAGAACACGAACATCACTTTTAGGGGTAAAATGCATGTTTATTACTAAGACGTGTTTTGTTTTGACTAGACGTTAAATTGTTCGAACCTTTTTTCCCGTCCCTCCCCACGCTGTTGGTTGTGTGGTTGGTTGCCTAACCTCCTAGCGCCGGCTCAATTCTCGGGCTGTTCTCATGGAGGTATACATATATACATATTATATATTCCTCCATGCTGTTCCTCTGCCGTGGTGCTAAGAGAATTTCCAAGGGATACAAAGAGTTTATTTCCTTTTCCATTTTGGCAAGTGTTTTCAGAGGCATTTTTTCTGTTATAAGAAATTTGATGACATTTAATGTATGTATTCATATATTGATTAATTTAATAAGAATTTGATTAGAAATGAAACATTTTAATGAATAATATTTCAAACAATTAACACTCAAATTCAACTACCCGGCGAGGAAATGATTAGTGTCAATACACCGGTGGCAATAATACAATTCTTTCCAAACGTGTTAAGAGTTATTTTTGCAAGAATTCAGTTCATATGTCGAAGGACTTCTAAAGGCAAAATATATGCAATTAGAGTTATTAATAAAAAAATATTGTGCTACTAACGTTTCTTTAAAATTTGTTCTGTAACTTACACTTTCGAAATGGATGCAAATTTTGTACATCGACCGCTTATTATACTGAAAATTTGAATTATTTAGTGACCTTTTCAACAATTTATAACAAGAGATAAATAAATCGTTTTTCATTTATTCGGCATTAATTTACCTATCGTCAATAAGAAAAAACATGACGCATGAGAGGAGGTGAGTACAAGAAAACAAAAATTTACAGTAATTTTCTAAAAACAATGGATAAAAAAGAAAATATGAGGAATGTAACAGGTAAAATATGAGGAATTACGTCGAAATAGATATTAAAATGAGACAATGGGGATGCATCAGAAAATGAAAATAAACTATTTGTTCAATAAATTTTAGGACAATTTAGAAACTTTTTGGGAAATAAAGAATATTAAAATAACATAGGACATTGTTGACATGACAAGAGAAGACTAGATGTTTGGCTGCGGGAGCGACACGAGCGCATCCAGTTGAAGTAGTAACAATAAAAACAAGTGAACTTTAGCACAGACATTTGGCAGCGGGAGGAGCTACGGCCGACAGGACATTTTGTAAAACAATTTTTAGTTTGTGAGAAGTAGAAAATGGACATGTGTTCACGATTAGTAGAGAATAGAAGAACAAGTTAACAACCGGTTAATGAGAAAAGAGTAATATTCAAAAGAAAATTAAATCGCGAATTGCATTAAAAGAATAAATTCAGCATGGTTGAGTGATGAGCTCAACAATGAAATATGAAATAGTCGCTGAATTCGTCACATCACCAAGTGTGCCGAAATATCTTTGTAAAGGAAAGTACAGACAATTTAAAGGACTTTATAAAAAATGTAGCAAGGCAAAAATATGTTAAAAATTATAAGAGATAAATATAAGATAGAAATAAAATTATTTTTCATATAGTCTATGGCTATCAAATATAGGTAAAATTAACGAAAGTATAAAGAGATTTTTGTTTGTCAAAATAAAGAAATGAAAAGCAAATCAAAATAATATTAATTTTGCAGTTGACACTTCATGTCGTTCACAATTTTAAAACAAAAAAACAAGTATTTGATTTTTTCATTAGAATTAGTTAAAAGAATACGTAATAAAACAGTTCGTAACTTTAAACCTTCACTGCTATAGGCGGCGATTTTCAGCCCACGAAAAGAAAACGAGGAGACCCTAGATA